ATATTCTTTCAATATAATTAATAGTTAGTATTTTCATCATAGAATGATTAGTACAGATGACAGGGAATTACGGTAGTGATAAAGAAGAATATTACATCATAAGGGAAGTCCCTAAACTAATTAATCGCTTCTCAGTCAGAACTATGTGTATTATGTTAATTCTAATCAAAGTTCAAGGGCTTAGCTTATTGCTAGGCAGATGTTGAATTCCTACAATATTTTCTAACTAAACTGCTGTAGTCCACTTCAGTAATATCGGGAAAACTAATTTTTCAATTTCAACTTGACATCTCGAACACAAAACAAACCTTAATGAGAATTATATGTTGTGAAAGTTTCAAATATTTTTATTGTTCCCATCCTAAAATACTACTATAATAAAAGTGTGTGTGTGTTTTTTTTTTACATTGCACATATACATCGTCACATTTGATGTTCTTATTTTACAGAATAGAAGCACATCAAAAGACTTGAAACTTTTATTATAAAGTTTTGTCTGTGTGAAAAAATTTCGAGTTGAAATTTGAAAATCACGTTTTCTAATGTTCTTAAGGAAGAATGTACCATAGAGCTAAAAAAAATATCATAAGAATGTAACTCATCAAGAAGTAATCAAAAAAATTAAGATATGCTTCTCACTGCTTTTCATGAACGTTTTCTTCTATCAATTAACGCATCATTTTGATATATTAAACAGGAAAAAATACATAGCTTTGTAGAAACCTTATATAAGTGCTCTAAATTATGATGCTAAAAGATAAATACATTAGCAATACTCATTGTCTCTATGGATCTGTAATTTATCCGTTAATTTGTTTTCATATCTGTAGTCAACTTGACCTCAAGATCATATTTCTATATCTGAAATGAATGTACTCAGCTATATTCAATATCCATCTGATAGTATCAAGCATCCGACGAACTTTCTAGGCTATGAAAAATTTTTCTAAACCTTTATGTTATCTGCAAAAATATTCGATTTTGTTTTTTCACATAAATAAAAACAACAAGAAGAAATTAGCTTGAAATCACATAAAAAAGAAGTTCTATTCAATTAAATGTTGAGACATACTCGAAAGTTGTTTTTTTTTTGTTAATTTCTATCTCTAAAAATAACAATTTCAAATAAGTAAAACTATTATTGATTAAAAGAATGTACATAGTTATCAATTAAAAGTTCACTAGTTTAAAGTGCATCACTCCACTTTATACTATGGACTACTCATGTCTCACTTTTTCTACCTCTTGATGAGAAGATTATAATCGGAATGAACCCAATAAGTATTTTTTTTTCTTTTATTAATGTTCAACACTCGAACAAACCCGGAAGTCAGATATCAGGTGGACTTGATTACTTAGCTCGATAACAAGTCTCTAAATATAGATTGTCTTTCATCAAAGTATTATGTGTTATGGAAAAAAAGATAGTTCGCAAGTTCTTTTCATCTCGATTGACTTGACAGAAAACTTTACCTTCATGTAATGGTAAAATATCTTCTAATGGTCCAAATATTTGTGTTAATTCTGAATCAGTAAGAATATTTAATGTTTTCATACCATTTCGATAGACCTATTTAAACAAAAACAACATGTTCTTTTTATTCATTCAAACAACAAAAAGTTTCATTACTCGTTGTGCTAAACCTAAATTTTCAATCATTTGTTGTTCTTCAGAAAATAATTCATAGAGAACATTTTGTCGTTCAATTTCTGTAGCTGTCATTGTTTGTTTTAATTTTTCACCATCATTTGTTTCTGACCAAGTTGAACAAAATTTTTTTATTGTATTTGGTGATGATTTTTTTGATGTTGTTTTACGTTTTATATTATAATTATAATTTGTTTGATGTTGATTATTTAAAAGATTAAGAAGATTTGTTGATGATGATTGTTTTGTTGTTTGAAGCATATTTATAACACGATCACACATTGGACTTAATAATTCTGATACAGATGATAAACGTGGTAATGAAAGACGTTTTTTACGTTGAAATCGATCATCAATAATTTCTTCAATTGAACGAAGTGATACTGTATCAGATTCAAGTTTACGTTTACGTTTTTTCTTAAATTAAAAAAAACAAAAAAATTTGATTATTTGTAATAGAATTTTGATAGAAGTATATACTCATATCATAAGAGAGATATTATATTCTATTACAGATTTATTTAGCAAACGGGTGAACCCACTCGAAAGTATTTTATCTTTTTTTCTTAGTAAGAAACCTTCAGTGGAATGTGATGTTTGCTTATAGATAGATTCGAACAATTAACAAACTATTCATTTAACCATTAAACTATATTAAACAACTAACTTTAAAACGAAGTAAAACTGAATTTTGTAATGTTGTTGTTGTTGTTGTTGATGTTGTACTTAATCTCTTTGCTATAGTTAATTCATCATCGATTGAAAGTTGTGATGATATTGATTCAGATGGTATTTCATCTATTGATTCCATATCATATGAAGATAGATCAGGTGATGATGGTTGATGTTCGTAGAAGCCCAACATTCTCATTCATAGAATGTAAATCTACAAGTGAATAGATTTATTATTCATTCTATACGACGATTACTGATAGAAAGAAAGAAAAAGCAGAAAAAAAAAAATCTTTCAGGGTCAGTCGAAAGTAACAGCTGTCATTCTCTTTTCATCCAATAGTCATTAGTTTGATGTCTATTTATAACCAAACCTCTCATGATAATATGATGCAATCAAAATGTATTTCATGTTCTTTAACGATGATCAATCATCATATATATGCAAATATGTTTGTAGACAGCAAATGACCACAAATGATCATCATTATCATCATCATCATCATGAACTTTTATTGTCTGGACAGAAAAAAGCAATTCAATATAATTAGATTATGATAGATCCATCTGATAAAGAAGAACGATGGAGAAAATAAAACAAACTTTGATGTGTGATACTAACTAATATATGTTGATGTTTTTGTCTGGAGAATAAAAACATGTCGAAAACTTATTCATGATATGACAAACAAGTCTTCATATCATATACTGTTGACATGATAGAAGCAACAAGAATATATTTCACTTTGTCTTATTGTAACATAGGAAACAAGTTTAGAGACTTTCATCAACCTCGATATATCAACACTATTATTTTTTCTTTTTATTACATAAGAAGATATATATATATATATACATATATAATAAAAAAAGATTAGTATTTTAGAATTTTATTAATTTTCTATGCTGTACGGATCATTTCTTTCGTTCGTTCTTTGACTATTTAGTTTATAAAATAAACAAAATTTATTGGTCTATTGAAACTACCATTTAAATTATATTGAAACAAAAGAAAAACTTATTGATTTTTTTATAGAGGTCTATTACCGAGACATCAAACATTTCATATGGTTTTTCAATAACTTTCTTAGTGTATTTAGTTATTTATTTATAATTCAATTTTTTAAAATTTTATTGAACAGATGACTTTTCGATTTAAGCTTTCGAGAAATATATTGAAGGAGAAAAAAACAAAAAAAAAAAGTTGACATGTCCTTAAACATGATGATTGAATAACCTAATACAAAAAAAAAAGATTGTACGTATTAGTTAAGCTCATCCAATGTATATTATAAAGTATTAAATAACAGAAAGACATACAATTGACGTGAGTATTTCATAAGCTATTTTATTAAAAATCTATAAGAGAAGAAAAATTTCAAAAATTATAATATACAAAAATTAATATTTAGATGAATATAATTAAATTGAATTATATTTTTTACAATTATTTAAGTGATTATTTCTTTTTTATGTTCGTATTGCTAGAACAACATAATTGTTTTATCTATTGTTTATAGATATCATTTCTAAATATAAGAATATTTTATATAGAGTAAAATATTGTATTACAATATAAATTGACATGACAAATATTCTTAGACAAAATCTAAAAGAATAACCAATTAAAGAAGCAAAACACTTGATATTAGAATACAGATAAGATTTATTAGATATAAGATTGATGAAACTATTTTCTTCTTCTTTTATTTACTCGAATACTAATTAACAACATTAGTTTCTTAGAAAGTCCTAAGCATTACAAATAACACTCTTGTTATTTGTCATGCTTATAAAGCTTTATAGAAAATTCTCATTTTATTCATAATTTTAGTATTCTTCTTAAAAATGAATTATCACAGTCTTTTCAAACAACTGTATTTGGATCTTCAGAAACTTTCTTCTGATAGTCTACCATATGAAATTATTGTTTGCATTTAAGTTAAATGCTGAATGTTGTAAATAAAAAATATATTCATCTTATATTTTTAATCAGTCCAATACATTATCTGTGTGTGTGAGAGAGTTTTATTGGCATCATGCCGAGCATAAAGAACTCGAAAAATAATAATATAAAATGATTCATACACATGATCAATCTTGTTTCTTTTTTCTGTGATTAGAAACTATTTTTTCATGCGCAATTTCGTATGTTTAGTTAAATAGTGCAAAATTTTTATTCATTTTTTATTCTATTGAAAACATTCTAGACAAACAGAATACAGTGATAGAATTTTCTAGAGATTTGAATAAAAAAAAATTTTTTTCATTAATTTTCGTATTTTTACTATTAGGATTCGAAATAAAATATTCAATGTTCTTTTTTAAAATGCCAGCTTGTAGAGCAAAATGTACTCTATTTGAGTACATTATTGTATAGTGACTAGAACTTGTCAAATATATCCCGAACTTCAATTGGGTCTACGTCTGAAAAATACTTATAGCTTCATTTGGACAAAAGTAACAACTTAATTCGATATCACATTTGGAAAAAAACATTGTCCATTATAATCTGATTCTAACTTATAGTTTTTCATTCAATTTTAAATAGATTAAAAACGTATAAAAATTTTGTTATTACCTGTCATCTTCGAAGTTAAAATAAAGAGAAGAAAACTATTATTATGTGTTAAACTGAAATTTTTTTTTTTTCTTCAGATTATTTATTTTGTATTACAAAATGATGACCCTAGTGCCATCAACCAACAATAATCGTAATACAAATAAAGAAAAAGTTTGCGATTAAATTTCAATGATTAATATTATATTAAATATTTTCTATGTCTATTATAGATTCGAGATGAATATCGTAGTATAAAAACATTCGTTATCAAAAACGAACAAGACAATCAATCTGATACAAGTAATTTAACACAAATATTGGTTCGAACAGATCATAATGTAAGTATATATATATACATATAAATTATATATAGAACGTTAATTTTAATAAAATTTAGGAAAGAACAGACAATGCATTAAATATGTTTCATACAAATACTAATTCAACATTATCATTTAATCAATTAAATACGGAAAATTTACATCAACAAATACACGATGAGACTACATTTGAACAAGTTTATCAATTTGAACAGTGTCGTGATGGAATATCAATGACTTCAACGTAATTTTTTTGAAAAATTCTATTTTCTTCTTTTTATTATCTAAGAGAAATTTTTAATTGTAGTCGTCAAAAACAAACTGAAGGTATGCCAATGATATCAATAGCTACTTCATTTAATAATCGTAATCGTCAAGTTATTCATGATAATTTTGATATTCAGTTACCATTAATTGAAACACATCAATCACGAGTAATTTTTCATCTTCATTTTAATTTTAATATCATATATTATTTTATTTTCTTAGCCAATAACAAAAAATTCCATATCAAAAAGAACAACAGAACCACTTGGTGTTTTACCTCTAAAACGTCAACGAAATCCTAGTGTAAAAGCTTTTATATCATTCTTAAAAGATAAATATACTTTATGGTTTTTTTTTCTTTTGTCTTCAGAATCCTTCAATATCATTAATATCAGAAGATGCTAAACAAAATCTTCTCTATTTTTCGGAATGTGATACTAATTCTAAAAATGCTCAAATAATATTTGAACCATCGATTTCGAAAACAAACGATTCATCGATTCGCATAAGAACGTATAACAATGGTAAATATATTTAGTTTTTTTTTTTTTTTTCTAAAAATATTTATACTACTAAATCATTTTTTAGAACAATCTAGTACATCTGTTTATCGTCGTGAATTATCAAATAAATCTTCATCATCTTCTCAAACTATATCTCATACTCTACCTATTGAATCATCTAAATTATCTAGTAATCGAATAAAAAAAGGTATTCTTAGTCGTCCATTACCTACACCAGAATCTATGTCTGACGATAAAAATATATATCGTTTAATAATACAAGATGGTGTAACAAAAGATCAAACAGAAATATTTTTACAATTTCGACAATTTTACTGTTTTATATGGGGTAATATTGTGAAAATATTTCGTATGTTAGAAAAACTTATGTTTAATTATTTTGTACCAATTGCATTGATTAATGGAGAAAAGTAAAATTTATTGTTTTATTTTCTTGAATATAATTAATTTTTATATAGAGTTGCTGAACTTGCACAATTTATTGAAATTGAACGTAAACCAACATTAGAAGAACTTCTCAGTACAATTATTAATCGTGATGAAGTTGAAAAGTTAATCAAAGAAACGGTAAAAATTTTTTTATTAATATTTTATTAGCTTATTACGATAAAAAAACAATACACAATAGTCAGTCGTGAGTTGGTTTTTTTTTCTTGCTCGATATATAATTCGAAATCTCTATTTTGTATTTCGATGATCTAAAAGTCAAAGAATTGTACAATTTTCATTTAAAAATTCTCAGCTCGAATCAAACGGTAGAAATAGTAGGAGAAAAGATGACCGTTTGCTAGCGAACAAATAGTCCGTAAACCGATCTGACGAATTACGGTACAAATAAATGCAATAATATGCTATTTTTGTCAACCGGGAATCATCACTCTGAATTATTATTAAAGACCAGTAATTGAAACTTCATTCTGACAACGTGTCAATATGAATGATTTAATTTACACTGGTTGATGTAAGTCGTCAAGCGTTGTTAGAAGACTCGCAATGTTTGCTCAATATATGTCGGTTTTCCAATGATTAGACAAAAAAAAACGTTATATGTCTTTGTTTTCAGGAAGAGCTTAAGAGTTGATTGTATGTAATTCATTGCTTATGCATTTTTTCCAGTTCCGTCGATGGAAAATTTATTTATATTATCATCAGTAAAAATATTAATTAAATAAAATCATGTTCGCCATTCCATTACAATTCATGATTTCCGTTGATTTGACGATACAGTAGATCTCAATTTCTTAGTTAGTATGACTTTAGAGTCTTTTTATAAACAGATAGATGCTGAACTTATTTTGTAAAACACGATCTAAAAGGAGTGTTGAAGTGTATAGGGGTAGAAATTTGCACCCACTACTTCCCCCTTCCCACAGATATGACAGACAGTCTTAGCAATGAGACATCACAGACGTGACAGACACATTAAAAACGACTTGTCACAGACGTGACAGACAGCCTTATACAAGCCACAGATTGTGATAGAAGACTTTAAGCAACTATCAGATAATGTATAACTAACATATGATTAGAGCATATATAGAATATTATCCTGTTTGAACTATATAATGTAAAGTAATCCATGGTGAAGAAATATACCCCAACATATATTGAAAAGAACAGTTTTTAAAAGATTTGAAACAGCAGTTACATCGTGTTTCACATTTTTAATCTCGCAAGGGATTGCGCTAACAGCTTTTTTTCTAGTACCACATAAAGTAACAATGGGTCAGAAAGACTTATGAACAATTGTTGTAAATGTTATCAGCTATTAAGAATCTTTTAAAACAATGCCATCATATATATAGTCAACTGCAAATACATTTTTCTTCACATCCCCAGTTTATTTCTTTCATTGGCAGAGAATCAAAATAAATTGGAAATGAAAAAAAATCAAGAAAAAGTTAGTCAAAAACTCTCGTGTATTAGAGTAGTATGAATTTCATGGATTTTTTAAATACAATATTTATGATTTTCATTCAATACAAAGCTTGGTTTATTTCTAATAACCGATTTGTGTTGTATACAATTAAACATGCATTTTTAATTAGGGTCGTCGTTTTCGTGGTAAAAATGGAAAAGAACGAGCAGCTATTATTATTCAATCTTGTTGGCGTGGTTTTCATGCTCGATATGTTTATAAATATTTAAAAAAACAACGATGGGCTGCATATGTAATTGCATCTGCCTGGTTAAAATATTCTAAATTATCTAAAATTCGACAAAAATTAAAATCAGTTCATCATCGTCAATTAGAATTTTTTAAAAACTCACAAAATGAATTACGACAAAAATGGTCACATATATCATCTCATCGTCATACAGTTGTACATATACCATCATTAGGTTTAACAGAATCTATACGAAAAACATTAACTAATTTACCTTTGAAAGAAAATTATCAAATAGGACGTTTATGTGAATTAGTAGATCCCAATATTGATGTTATTTATGTATCACCAATGCCTGTTAATGATGAAATTTTACAATATTATAATCGATTGGTAAGATTTTTGTAATATTTTATTGAAATTTTATCTTCCGGATAGGCGAATACTTATAGTCAGAAGCATAGACTTATAGTACATGGTACAAAAATCAGCGCAAACATTGAGATCTTGATCCATGTGATAACCACCGCCGGTAGACTGATCATTATAATGTGCGCTATCCCAATGGCTTTTGTTTTTAAAAGCGTTGTATCAAAACGAGAAAATATTTTTGAAGTCTGTTAAGATTGACAGAATTCCGTTATTCAAAAAAGTTTTATTAGTAAAATATATTCTGATATTGTTTTCTTCTTGGTTAATTTGAATTCTTTCTAATAAACAATTCGAATTTTAATAGAAAACATTCTATGCAATCATTTATAGCTGAACTAATGTACGACGTAGATAGTACAAATTAAGATTTACTTTATTTCATGATATACTAGCTAATAAATGTTCGTTATTGAATATTTTTTCTTTTCTATAAATATTTAGGTAAGTTTACGAGCTTTGGTTGAACAAGGAAGTGAACAACTGACATTTTCAACATCTAATAATGCAAATGAACGATTTGTAATTATTGTACCAGAAGCATTACAGAAATTTCCTGTAAGTTAACAATAAATCAATATTCTAAAAATTGAATTTCTAATATTTAGGGACATAACATGTGTTTAGCTACGATATTAAAATACAGTCCAAAAGCTTTAAAACAGTAAATAAACAAAAATATAATTGATTTGAAATTTTCTTAAAATGTTTTAGAATCAAAACTATGATAAAAGATCGTTCAGCTTATCTTGTAACAGGTATTTCACATATTGATGATCTTTATATATCAGAATATCTTGATATTCCTATATATGGTTAGTTACATTTGTTGATATATCAAATTAATTTTCTTATAAAATATCAAATAGGTTGTGAACCTGAATCATCATATTTATATTCAACAAAATCAGGTTCAAAAAGAATATTTAAATCAAGTAATGTTCCAATGCCATTTGGTGAATATGATATATATAATCAAAAACGTCTACTCGAATCATTAGCTCATTTAATTCTTGAACATCTTGATGTTCAACGATGGATATTTAAAATTGATGATCATTTTGATGGACAAGGTATTGCTTATTGTGATATTGCTATTTATCTTCCATGTTATAAAGATATGTTAAAAGAAGCTGAAAAATTTGCTGATAAATGGTCAAATTCATCTGTACAGGTAGACAAAAGCAAATTATCCATTTAATAATAATAATACGTTCAGATAACAATTTTTATATTTTGTTTGATATCATTAACTATTGATTCGACATATTCAATCAAATTTTGTTCACAAGTATGAAATGTCGAGATTAGAATAAGTTTTAGAAAATATGAACATGAGTGACAATGCGACTTAATTTTAATGCAATATTTAAGTTACTCTACAAAGTTAAGTTTTATCTACATTAAGCTCGTAATCACAATAGCTTGCTTAGCATACAGATGGCTTTTTTTTTAATGATTATTATGTTATGCATAGAGATAATAGATGCTAAAGTTCTGAAACTTGATAGACAAGTTAATGTGATTGAGATTTTGATGTGATTAATGTTTTATATTAAAATTTGAAAGCTTGACTTTATTGAGAAATTGGAAAAAAAAGTTGCTAGTTTAATCAAATTGCAATTGGTGCTCATAATTAGACAATTCCGTATTAGTTAACAAAATTTTGAGCTCAAATGCTTTGCTGGTTTGAAGAAGTTCCTATATGAGACAAAACAAGCTTCTATTAAATTGTCAACATCATTTACTTTTAAATAGTAACACACAAATTTCAGATCTATCGTGTTGTTTTTTCATGACACTAGGCGGACATTTTTATACATAATATCTAATGAAAATGATAAGTTCTAAACTATCGACAAATTTGTTTACTGAAGATTGATCTCTCTCTAAATAGAACTATTCATTAAAATAGAAACTTCCTTTTTCCTGAAACTGACATTCGATCAATTAAATTTATTTGATTGAATTGATCGGCTAGTCTTTGTCATCGATCTCATTCGATGATTTCTTATTCAAGTCCCTTCTCAATTTAGTCCATTCCAATCGATTCTCACATCGTTCCTTGTCCAATTCGATTATAATTCATTAAATTACTAGGAAGAGACGATAGTCTTCAAGGTTTATTAGTTGAGCAGTACCCATATAATAATATCCTTGAAACCAAATGACATGTCAGCGATCATTGTAAAGACATACATATTGAATACAATAAGCGAACAACAAATAAAATGTAATTCATAATTACGTATAGTAATGTACTTTTATTTGTTTATCAATGTTTACAAATAATAATTCAATGCGGTAAAGTCGTAAAAATAAACAACTTAGTTTGCCCGTACATTATAAATGCAAAAAACTTTTGTGTTTGTTTTATTTATTTTCGTCTATATTAAATATAATTATGAACTCATTGTAATTGATAATATTAGGACTGAATCGGAGATAAATCTATTGATCGAAATAGATTAAAAATAATTATATTGACTTATCGATTTTGATCAGAAATAGCAAAGACACATTAAACTTTGTCAAATGATAGCAGTTTTCTACCAAAAAGCTAAAATCGTAGATCGATTTTTTTGATAGGATCTCGTATGGAACTGTCAACTTTTTTATAAATGAATTTTATTATTGATCTTTGTTACTAAACTATGCATATTTCTTTCTATTGATAATACTAAAATAAACTATTCAAATCACTGTTTAAATATAACACTTAATTAAAACAAAAAATTTATATATATATTTTTTAGAAAGCTTCTTATACAAAGATTCTATCTGAATTATCTGATGTTCTTGATAAACATACTGTTTATGTAAATAAAACTCAATTTAATTCTTGGCAAACATATTTAAAAGCCTTTTTATCTGAAGGTGGTATTATCGAAGCCTATCCACCATCAAACTCTATAACATCAATAACAATATGTCTTTCTATTGAACCTAATGGTCATTATTCATTGATTTATTCCGGTGATCAACTTCATGCTGAATCTCTATTTTCTTGTTGGGGTTTATCATTTCCACAATCAAGTGTCGATTCAAATGAATTAAATAATTATTGTTCATTAATAGCTGAACAATGTAAACAAAGAAATATATATGGTTATATTGATATTGATTTTGTAGCATTTATTGATAAAAAAACTAATCAACAAAAATTATGGGTCACTGATTTATGCATTGGATATTCTGAACATATATCACTTTATCGTGTTATGCAATATACTACAACTGGACAATTTAATCCATTAACACATTCATTTTGTGTAAAAATGAAACAACTTAAACAACGATTAAGAAATTGGCAAAATGGTGCACCAGAATATACAGTAAAACAAAGTTCTTTTTTTTTTTCTTTCATACATAAAAAAAACATTTCAAATTAACTTATTTGTTCTTTTTTTTTTTTAAATAGATTACAGAAAAAAATCGTTATGCTATTTGGAGTTCAAAATTATATCATAGAAATTTATCTAATATTCATTATAGTATATTTTTTCAAATGTGTCGTTCACATGGTGTTGGTTTTGATATTCGAGAAAAACAAGGAAGTATATTTACATTATTTGAATGTGATCATCATGAACATATTGGTATGATTACAATTAGTGATACATTACAAAATACATTATCAAATTTTGCTTGTTATTTAAATACGATTTATCAAGAAATTACACCAGTTGATATGCAAGAACAAAGTAATTTTATGGTAAATGAAATTTTTTTCTTGAAATTCTATAATGAAAAATGTTAATTTTTTTCATTTAATAGTTGGCTGTAAATGATATTGAAAATATACTTGGGATAACACAAGAAAATCTTTCAAATATATCATTGAATGATACTACATCTTGATAAAAACAAATTGTATTTTCTGTTTTTTAATTATTGTAAAGTTTTTAGTCACTTATAAATCATGTATTTTGTGCCTTTTTGTTTTTTTTTAAATAAAATATCACAGCCTTTTTTTATTGAAGTTTTTAGCGACATGATTTCACAAAATATAAATTGCGTAAATCTTTGTACTGAAAAACTTTTTTTTTCAATTAATTTTTATGTAATAGATAAATACTAAGTTACTCTAGATATCTTGAGAAAATTTAACTCTATAGACTGTTGTTTTGTTGAGTTATTCTTGAAAAACTGACGTTGGCAAGGTGATATAAAAAAAAAACGACAAAAAACTTTCATCGCATACGTTTCCATTTCCTGTTGTAAATATAAACAATATTTTTGAGAAATGAATAGTGCGTTATATGAAGGACTCTTCAGGCTGAAAAGTTTCTTTTTTCTGAATATGTTTAGATATTTAAAAAAAACTAAGTTCATTTATTGTTAACGATATGAATGAGGACCGAGCATAAAAAAGCTGAAAGGAAAAATGTCGAAACTAGGAAAAATATTGAATAAAGTAATATCTCCAGAGTGGATGTAGATGTGAATATAGATGAAGAGAACATTAAAATAGACACTCATACTCACACTTTTTATGTTACAAATAAAGAATATCTTGTTAATTGTAATTTTTGATAGTTTTCCTTTCAGTCTTTGTAATGCATACCTAAATAAGTACGAATATGAAAATGAAAATTGTTCTAGTAATTTAATGAGAAGTTCAAAAATAAATTCTAATTGGTACAATATCTTATTGAAGATTTAGAGATCATAGTAAAACAAAATATCTTGTTCTAGAACTTGAACAAAACTCTTCAAAATCGAAGTTTTGAAGGAGATTTTTTTCAAACTCGATCTTTTTGAAAACTTTATCATAGATATAATTCGTCGAATGAACTCAATTCTGAAGTATTTAAACATGGTCGTGATAAGGTTAGAAACTTTTTTTTAATATCCTGTCCAACAACTTTGCTATATCCCGAACTGAAAGAGCCAATATTTTTACACATGTATTCATTGAAAAAGGAGTTTATTCGAAAAAATATTTCTTGTAAAGAATTAAAGACAAATTGAAGATGGTCGTTATGTTCGATTGTTGCTCATATATAAAATTGAAAAATATATTTGATGATATTTCTCTGTTCCCAATCACTTGATGAAGTGAATATTTTATGTGTTACATTAGTCAATATCTCATCAATAAAATATCTTAATGAATTAAACATTAGATTCCTGAGGAACATCTTTTAATGTTTCTTAGAGTTATGTTCAGTATTAGAAATTGATGTATATGCAATTGAAAACAATCCATAATAATTGGAGACTTTTACTTATATGGAGATTATCACCAGAAATAGTAATACAATCATTTATATAGCATATTTTGTAAACAAGCTTCAAAATAGACAATTTTTTTTTATCAGTCTTGAAGAGATATGCAGGACTAATTGGTTTTTTAGTCTCGGTCGTGACATATTGTTACTTATTTGTCGCGAACATTACTAATTACTACTTTAACATATCATTAATGAAGGTTATCTGAAAAATAATGATGACGGGTTTTTTTTATCAATGTATCGGGTGTGTCTACAGGGAAATATAAAGTTCCTCATGATGTAAAATACAAAGCGTCATAAATAATTTATAATGTACTCGTACTATTGTAAATTTTTCGATGTTATAAAAAAAATGTTATCTTGTTGTTCTGACTTATCATATCGACAGAATACATCAAATTGGTGAAGTATTCCCGTCATGATGATTGTTAAATCTACGAAAGAAAAAAGAACGCACTCACATCTTGACATTTTAAATCTCTATAACTAAGTTTCATTAATGCAAAAAAAAAAGAAAATTTCAAGTATTCTTTTTTCTTTGTCTCGTATTACCTTTAAAAAATGGTTTTATCAAGGATTAAACCATGTTCTTAGTTGATATCGTCTTTCTATCGAATACTCGATCGATAAAAATCATAATGAATTTGTTTTAAAGTATACCAAACTATCTAAAACCAAAATAAATTCAAATATTTGATCAATGAATTTGTGTCTCTTTCATACAATTTATAATCGATAAGAATAAATGAGGAAATTTCAATAAATTTCAATTTTATAGTTGCAATTTTTTTTTTGAAAGGTGTATACAAGAAAAAAAGCCTAGTTTTGAATGTTCTTATTATATATAAAATCATTCTAATCTAGAATATATATATATAATGACATCATTTCATTGCATCATAAAATCGTTTTTACTCAAAATATTGATCATACATTAAAGTTTTATGATTTCAATGTCATTTACTAATATATGAGTCATCATATTCTAATCCTGTTTCACACATAATGAAATCTACTACAGACATAAAATTCGATATTCTTTCCTGGATTGGATTGATACGAAGACGACTGAGTAAATGTAAAATTCTTTGTCATAGGTCAACAATAAATGATTATGAAATTTTACTCCTACATACACATGCATACACCTATATGCAATCATCGACATACATTTATATAATAAACTGTTTTCAAGAGTTTGCTCGTAGATAAAAATCAAAATCAAAACTGTCAAAATGAATATTTTTCACTACATGTTCATTTTATTATTTCCAAGTATTTTTTCATATCCATACCGTTATTCAAATGATCTTAATCAGTTTTTAAATATGTATGTGAAACGACAAGAAAGAAATCTGGATGAAACTAACAAAAAATTTGGTTCTCCTCGACAATATATGCTTCATCCTTTGCCCTCATATTATGAAGAAAAACCATTACAAAAACCATTATGTCTTCCACACATATGGTCGTGTGGTCCTCATTTACCTCCATGTTGTCCTGGTCTTATGTGTTATGATGGTAATGCAAAACGTGGTCGATATTGTGTTGCTAAAGGATAATACTAAGAACAAGATCTATGTAAAAATATGTTTATTTTGTTTTATTTTATTTTTAATAAAATTTAAATAATATTATTGAAATTTTATTTGATAAAAAATCTGTACGATTAAACTTAAATTATGATCGATAGATTTCTATTTAAAACAGTGAAGTTTTTCTATGTAGTTTAGCAATTTCATATTTCATTCTTTAGTTTGGATAGTTTTACAAAAAAAAAAAAACAAAAGAAATTACTTTGTTTTTCGTGTAGCAGAATTAATATGAAGATAAGAATCATCACGCATTAATATATAATAAGATTAAAATAATTATTTTTATTTATCATCTAAAGTAACAACACAGCTGTTATGTTCAATAATGTAGATTTAATATGAGTTTATTTTTGAAATTTTTGAGTTTAGCAGAAAAATCATACGTCGAGCATGAATTTTTTTTCAAAAATTCTATTCATGACAAGAACAATTTTATTTGATCAGATGAAAAAAGACAATAGACAACAAAAAAACTAAGTGTAGAAATTTTAATTTCGTTTTATGTGATGTGTGAGCATACACCTTTTCTTGACTCATACATACATGAACACATACGATTACACCTACATTGGACATTTAGCTTTCATATATTTTCTACTTTCGACATTTTTCTTTTCTGCTTTTTCGGTCAATCTGACCTTTTTATTCGCCGATTTCGGCTGAGAGAAAATTATGACAGAATTTATTCATATTACATCTAAACTAATTCTTCAATACTTGTGTTTTTTTTATTGATTTAGTCGACAACTAGGAATTTTCTTTGAGTCCTCTTCCTTGAATTATGTTTTGATTCATATGATTCATAAGATAATCTGCATAACACCATCGAATGAATATTTTACTATACACTTGAGATTCAGTTCCGACTAGACGTCATAATGGTCCGTGCTGATTCGAAATTACGATGAGTACACATGGGTCGAATCTTGAATAAAATATAAAATTTTCAAAAGACGTTGCATATTTCAATTAAATTGGTTTTTTTTTCGAAAATCCCCATGCAATTCCTCTATCAACGACAACATTTCTTCAATAGAAGGTACATATATATAGCAAAAGATAATATTGTTGTCAGATTAAAAAATTTTCTTTATATTAAATAAGGCATCTTTATCTCGTTCTCCTTGTTCATCACCACATATAAAATAATTTGCATTCGAACGGATCGAATTTCTTTTGAAATAACAACCATCGACATATGTTGCTATTAAAAATAAAAAAAAAACACATCCTTATATTGAAAAGTGTTTTGATTTTCCAACTAAAAAATCAGAAAATACTGGTGAATTCGAGAAAACTAAAAGTTTTACAGGTCGCTAAATACATTACCGAACATTTGCTTATGCATCAACTACTAGCCCTCGAAATGTACTTCCTCATTTATATATGAATAATCTATTCGATGCAATTAGATGAATGGCCCGAGGGTGAACCATTTTTTAAGAAAACAAAATGATTCGGATCAGATCAAATGTCAATAATCAATGCATCGGCTTTTTTTAGTCGCGAATCGACTCATTGTGACCTCTAATTTGGACAAATTCTTTTTTGGTGGTCTCGGTTTCGGTAAAGTTTTATTTTAAGGTCTCGCACATTTTTTGGTACTACAGTATCCTGATGTTAGTGCGAACAAATGTACAAAATAGAAAATCAAAGAAAACTTGCAGAGAATATTGATGATGTATTGTTGCATTTATTATCAATACTCTAAACTAAAATCAGTTTTTTTTTTTATAGAAATAAGATTTAATAATGCTAAACTATATGATACATTAATTCGATTTCGTATGTCGATTCGAGATTGGAATTTATGAACGTAATAGTTGTTTTTTTTTTTGAAATCTCTCGTTTGTAATAAACATTCGACAAAATAAAAATTGTTATTTTATGATCATCAAAGACACATGAGTTTCTTTTTGAAGAAGATTCATAATGGAAAAAATGGGAAAAGAGCCCGGCAAAATCAGGCAATGGAGCCCGGTGTGCTTAATTGGCTAAAAATATAAGGCAAAGGAGCCCGGAATCTTTTTAACAGTTAAAAACAGGCAAAAGAGCCCGGTAAAAAAAGTAATTAAGTAGAGAACAGGCAACAGAGCCCGGTAAAAAAAGTAATTAAGTAGAGAACAGGTAAAAGAGCCAGGAATGTTTCTATGTACATTTACATGTACATATAAATCTAGTAAACAGAGGAAAGTAGATCAGTAGAAGGCAAACGAAAAGATAAAGATAAACATCATGTTTAGGGATGCACCAGTTTCAGTCATGGCTGATCACCCAGTCCGACTATCAGATCTATGCTTTTGGTTTGAAGGAGCTGCACGAATGACACCCTCAACGAACAATGGACTCGAAAGTCTTAATGCACGTATTAAACAAGAGTACACGATGAGACATGAGTTACCTTTGGGTGTCTTTATGTCAACTGCTGAACGGATGCTACGAGACTGGTCAATTTCTGTTCTGGAGCATCCATTTCAAACACATATCACTCTTGATGATAAAATTGATTCAAAAGCTTATGAATGGTTACAAAAAGTTGATTAATCACAAATACTACAGTTGAATGCATTTACATTTGTTGTACCGTCAACAAATGCAAAAATGAATACAAATACATGGGTGAGCCTCCTTTATTCTATCGATTGGCAAACATATGACCAATTTAAAGATTGGCTTAACTCGGCTCGAATTTTAGATTACTCACAAATGTTGCCACCCATTTTTTGTTCCTGTAAATGTGGCCTAAAAGAATATTACTGTGTCCACACAACTGGTCTTATGATGATGTGGGGTGTTCGAAAAATCCCGCTGCTCATTGGGAAAAGGAGAAATAAAGGTAGAATAAAGAAAGCAAAATATGCTTTGTCAAAAGACTGATTTTCATTAAAGCACTACTCATGTGAGCACTAATACTGTATTATGATTTTTTTTTGTTAATTTATGTAATTTTACTTCTTCTATTAAATTTGGCTGTCTGAAGTTAACTAACTCATTATACAATGTTTTACTTGCAGATCTGTTGTCTCTCTCAGGACTAATAAAAATATTCCGGGCTCTATTGCCTGTTCTCTACTTAATTACTTTTTTTACCGGGCTCTTTTGCCTGTTTTTAACTGTTAAAAAGATTCCGGGCTCCTTTGCCTTATATTTTTAGCCAATTAAGCACACCGGGCTCCATTGCCTGATTTTGCCGGGCTCTTTTTCCAACGTGTCCATTCATAATAGATATATCTTTATGTTAATATAATAGATTATGATTTATTTTTATTCTTTTCTTGTTGAATGAGTATATTTTCAACTGTCTTCATAATAAAAAAAAAATGATAAAAGTTTTCAATTTATCCGATGTAAGGTACTTGAGTTACAATGCCATTTTCATTGACAACAACACGTACACGATCAGATTGCATATCCGTCGTTAATAGCGAACCTTCGAGGACAGTAAATACTTTAGTAAAACCTATATTTAAATTTTGAATTAAACGTATTTATTGAAATAATAAATCTACCAACCAGTTTTCATTTTAATATAATTTACAGCATCTGCACCGTATTTTCCAAGCATTTCTGGCCAAGAATATTGTTGTATATCCTTGAATGGAACTTGAGGAGGAGTAGTTGGTACACCTGAAATAATATTTCGTTGTCTTTTTTTTTTTTGTATACTTTCAATATATCAATTTAAGAAAATTCAAACCTTGATTAACATTTATTACTGAAATGTCAACCGTAATCGGACTAGGACTTTTAATTGGCACATTTGTACGTATATTATTTATGAATAAAAGAGTTTTTCCATTTGTTATTCGAGCTGTTATGGAATATATAAACATTGGTGGAGGAGAATTCACTATTTCCATTTCATAATTAATTGGAAAACCGGTTAAATTTGAAATTTGTACCTCTTTTATAATTTTTCCTGGTATATCAGGTATTGATGTGTCTTGAAACGAAACAGTAAGAATACTACCAATTGGTATTTTAACATTTTTATTTTCATCATCATCAAGTAAAACACGACCACGAATATTTAAACCAACTAATAATAAAATAATAAAACTTAAGTTATGAACGATATAATGAGAAAAAAAAAGAAAGAAAAAAACTTACTAGAATATTGTAGTATACATAAGAATATAATTAAACGTAACATAGTTATCGAATATTAATTTTGTTTTTGAAATAAATATTACAGATATACAATCGAATTTATAAGTATCAATATAATGAATGCTAATTTAAAAAATGAATAATTATTCTACAAAATATCGTAAAACGTAATAGAATATATTATAATTAAAGACTCTTTATGTTTAAGTTTAAGCAATGAAAAGACATATTCAAGGAAGTCATAGAAAGGATAGAAGCTTTAGAAAAAATCAGAACAACTTAGTAAATAGTAATAAAGACGAAGAAGCAGGAAAAAACCGACTATACATGAGGACAACAAGTAAAGCAAGGGCGATGCATTTGATATGAAAATAAAAAAAAAAACAAAATACTCTGAAAATGTTAACTAATGATTTATTCTTTTTATATGTTAGAATTCGAAGTAATTCTATAAAACCTTGTCATTTGAAAATCATAATTGAAACAAAAAATCACGAACAATATTCTAATTTTAAATTTATATTAGAATTTCATAAGATAGATTCATTAAAAGTTCATGCCATGATTTTGATGATGGGCAACAAGATTAGATAATCCTTTGTTCTTGTTACACGCATTGATAGTTTATCGAGTACAGCTGAAAAAAAAAGATCTTTATTTTCATCTGAAATCATTCATTGATAGACAAAACCGTATAATGAAGCTAATAAAATAGGTCATGTTTAAATAGATATTATCTTAAGAAACTCATTTTCGTCACGAAATCATAAGTACATGATAGTATAGATAATTGTTTAGTAATATTATCATCTTATCATCTATTCACAATATCACAATGAAAAATTTTATTATCAATCTAAATCAGTTTATTTATAAATTTGTTTTAAATCTCAAGGAAAACAACATGAACTATAATCTCACTTGAACATGCATAGAATACGGATTAATTTTTCAAATAAAGATACAAATATGAATTAACATCTAATTGAATTCATAAGCTTAATTAGAACATAATTATGTGGTATTCTTTGATAAATTTCATAAATTAAAATTAATATTAATATTTTTCTTTGAAATATTTCTTCCTTTTTATTCTCTGAAATCTTATTTTGCCTATTCATTGGTTTTTTTGTTTATAACCTATTCTTTTGTTTAATATACTTGATATTCTATCACTTTGCATAACTTAATTATATACGCAAACATAGATTTTTTTTTTTTTCATATTAATATTAAAATGATAATTCTATGTTAATGTTTAACAACGTTTATATGATGTCAACAGAATAATTTCTAATAACACAACGTAATATTATACTCAATAATGTTGTTGTTGAAGAATCTTTAAAAATAATTTACAAAATAACAGAATGACATTAACTTCGATTTCAACGAAACAAATTGAGAAAAGTAAATTGACATAAATAAATAGATATAAATTGATTAAAAATTCTACGAACTATTATATACATCAATTGAAATATAATTTAATATTAATATTTTTTTCAATATTAAATTACACTTTTATATTTTGGTCAGTTTAAATTAACAAAAAATTAAATCATACAAAAAGTTTTTCAAACGATTATAGATAAATTAATTAAAGTATTTACAATCTTGTAATGCTTATTTAATTATTTATAAGAAAAAGAATACATTCACATCACTTATTTTATATTGTAAACTAATGAAAAAAAAAAAAGCCGTTTTTTTTTTCATACAAAATATAATAAAATAATGTCACATTTTAATTGTCGAGAACGAAAACTAATAATTCATTATAAAATCTTTTTGTACTTAATATTTAGACTGTCATGGTTGAATTGTTGGTCACGCATCCATAAAGTACTATGTTCAAAACTCAATGTCATCAGTCATGGAATGATGCTAGGCAAGTAACTAATGATTATTTCTCTGAAATCATCCATGCAATAGCATGCCGACTACATTGTGACATACATCTGCTCTTCTGATTAGTTAATGTGTATAAGAACTCAAGAACTTTGACTCAGGTTAACCTTTTGTAGGAAACTTGTAGCGAAATCACCTCACATACAATAAAAGACTTGAACTCTTGCCTTATAAATTCTTACTCATAAAGAACTGATAATTGTTCATTATGATTATGTACCAAATACAAAGCAAAAATAGGAGAAAAAAAAAATGATTAAATTTCACTTTTTTTGATTAGGTGAACTATTTCATTTCTATTGTCGTTGATGATGTTTAATAAATGCAAGTTCTTATTCTTTTTTTTTTTTTTTCTTCATTATTTTATTTGCTTTCTAATTAGTAATAGATTGATAAGCGTGCTAATTCATTTTTACATTCATCAACAGTTAAATTAATTTTGAACAATTGAATCATCATTAAAACTATAACAATTATCAAAATTTGAATGTTCATCATTATAAAGGAGTGTACAATGTTGTTCTTTTATATTTTATATATTCATGAAATTTATATTAGTACTAATGTAAATGAACTTGAATATTAATTACTCTTTCTTTCTCGTACTATTTATAGCTCACTCTGTTTCTCTCGTTAGCAATTAACAATTTTACTCCTACAAAGAAAATATATTTCCATTTTACTTGCACTACTATTCTTTCGTAACTTTTATTTTTCAATAAACAAAATTCAGCAATATTTCAACGAAGAAAAAAAAACAAATGTTAAACAGGTTTAAACAATAGATTTTTCTACAACATCTAGATCTGCTAATATGTGGAGGATGCAAGAAGGAAAGTAGTATAAATTGTATGAATGTACTGCTAGACAGCATGCTATATATTACGGTAGTTGAAATGCAGAGATATTCTTCTTGAATAAACATTTCGATCAAAAACAAACTCTCATGTGTATCATGTCATTTTTTTTTTGTTCTTTTGAGATTCTTCTAAGAAATCTTCAGATGCTTCTAATGTAATCAAATTTTGGATTTTGTGTTTTTATTTACACTGACATTAAATAACCGGAAGTTGGAAAAAAAAAAAGAAATTGTTCCCTATTGAAACAAGAAGAAAGAAAAAAAAGATCATAAGATTACATGCACAAACAACAATAACAATGGTATGTGTGTATGTGTGAATGTCGGTCAGCTGAATGGGCAAAGGAATAATATTTTGATACGAACAACGATCACAAAATACATATAAAAGAAAGAAAAAAAAAATAAAAGATAAAGAGAAAAATAAATAAATACTTATAAATATAAATCAGTCTTGACGAAAAACAACAACAACACCAACAACGAACAACAGCAATCAAATTAATATTGCACAGTAAGAACAATGAAAAATGTATGTAGGACAAGAAGAAAGAAAAAGAATAGAAATAAATTTTTTGTTTCTTTCTTTCTTTTTGTGTTTTGTTTTCTAGTATTATTTATGATGGTTTGCCATCTTCAGGATCTTTAAGTGAATGCCACTGAGCAATAGGCCGTCGAGGTGATGCAAGCATATCGGACCAATGACGTAGTTCAGTACCAGTTGCATTACAACCAAGAACAACTTTTCCAATGGGCTCAGATGTACCAATACGATCATAATCAACTACAGTAACTACTAATTGCACTTTCTAAAAGAAATAATTCTATTGTGATTTATATTTAAATATATAATTAAATAAATTAACCTGAATTTGTTCAAAAGGTACTTCAAATGTAAATGATTCATTATAATATGGATTTAATGTACATTTTTTAATTGATGTTTTCTTTTTTTTCAAACGTTTACCATTCATCATTAATGATAATTTAACATATGGATCTAAAAATAATAAAAATTAAATGAAATGTTTTTTGTTTTTTTTTTAATTTTTTCTATAAATTAATCATACCAGAAAGACCACCGACATCCATTTTTTTGAGATTCTTAGCTTCGAGTATTGTTATTGTTAATTTACCTGCTGTTGGAACATATCGAAGTGAAAAACAAATGTCACCTAATTTATTTTCCTAGAACAATGAGAAATAATGATTAAATAAAACAAAGACAAAAAAAATATTATAAATAACATACAGCTTCACGTTCTCCAGGTGGAGGCGTTAAATCTTTAATTTCTCTTATAACTTTTCCTAAATCGACTGTATTAAGTGGAATTTGTACTTCACCAATTTGATCATGTCTTGAAAATCGATCAAAATCATAAACAGCAAATACTAATGTTTTTCCACCTATTTCACCATAGGCCAAATTCTATTTTATCAAAAAAAGAAAAACATTTTTTTTAATATTTTATATAAAAAAAAAAATTCATTTATCAATTAACCTTAAATATAAATGTTTCATTAAAAACAGGATTTAATGTTTTACGATAAACTTTTGTTTCAAATTTTTTCTTTTTATCTGGTAAGACATAAACTTTAACATATGGATCAGATGTTCCACTCATATCCATAGCTGGTAATTCTTGAGCTTGGATAACTTCAACTTTAAGCTATTACATAAAAGAAAAGAAATTAAAAACAAAATTTTTTTTTTAATTTTTTAATATATACTTCTTGTTTTTGAAAATCATAATCAAGCGAATATTCTAGTTTGCCTAAATTAGGAGCTTCACTTTTTTTTGAATCAGCATCTTCATTATCTTCCATATTTGGTGTCAATTCTTCAATATCAGGTTGAACCTATGATTAATTAGATTTTGTTTTAGATTAAATATATTTTTCTGTATGATTTATTGTTATTATTTTGTTTACCTTTTCTTTATGTAAACCAAATGTTTTGACAGCTTGTAAATCAATTCCTTTACCACCTTTGACACCTTTTTTTTTCCATAATTTTCGACATGTACGACGAATACAACAAGCCAAACACATAGCTAATGTGAGGATTACTATAATTATAATTATAATTGTAGCCCATGGTGGCACTAAAAGAAAAAAAAAATCAGAATAAAAATAATCAAATGCCCAAACACTGAATCGAACAATGGACCTTCTCTTTACGAGAGAGACGCTCTACCGGCTGAGCTATTTGGGCAATTGTTATAATAGAATATCAAATAAAAAATTTTATTATCCTTAATTGATGATTTGTT